GGATGATAGGTCCTCAAAATTGCTCAAATCGCAATCTTCCCCAGCAAGACAATAAGTCTTCAAAATCGAATTCAAATCACAGGTATCAAAACTCATTGTTCCTGATGATAAATTCACCTAGCAAGTCTCCCCAGCGAGACGCTAATTCCTAAAATCTTGTGTAAGACAATTCACTTATCAATCCTCGTCAATAGGATGATAAGTCTACAAAGTTGCTCCAATCGCAACACACATCCTGTCAAGTTAACATCAAACCTCTGACAAAATCCACTTATCAATCCTCCTCAATAGGATGATAAGTCCACAAAGTTGCTCCAATCGCAACATCATCCTGTCACGTTAACACTAAACCTCTGACAATCCACTTATCAATCCTCGTCAATAGGATGATAAGTCCACAAAGTTGCTCCAATCGCAACACACATCCTGTCACGTTAACACTAAACCTCTGACAAAATCCACTTATCAATCCTCTCCAATAGGATGATAAGTCCACAAAGTTACTCCAATCGCATCCCTGTCATGTTAACATCATACCTCTGACAAATTCACTTATCAATCCTCGTCAATAGGATGATAAGTCCACAAAGTTGCTCCAATCGCAACACACATCCTGTCACGTTAACCCTATACCTCTGACAAACCACTTATCAATCCTCTTCCATAGCAATATCTTTCTTGTGTTAACATCACACCTCTGACGACCAAATCAACTTATCGACTCTCTTCAATAGAGCGATAGGTCCATAAAATATTGTTAGGTTAACATCACACCTCTAACAGTCAAACCCTCCTCAATGAACTTGTTAATCCTCTTTCAACAAGAATAGCAAGTTTTCATTATGACATCCCCAGCGGATTAAAGATTTTCTAGAATTATCCTAGTGATAATAAAGAAAATTTTTGAATTTCACTTTAAGTGAAAATTCATGCCAAAGTTAATACTATACTTCTGACACTTCCAACTTTCTTTCGGTGTTTCAAGCCACACAGGAAGAAACGACACCAAAAATCCATGCCTTCACGCATGGGGGACTTTATCTCGATCCCTAATTAGAGATAAGTCTACGCCTAACACGCGTTGCCGGTTACGCGTTGCCGGTGAGTCTTTGACCGTAAAAAGGACAAAAGTCTACGTATTCAACATCGTAGCAGGTCGTTATTAATAACGCCAAAATCCATGTCTTACACGCATGGGGGACGTTATCTCGATCCCTAATTAGAGATAAGTCTACGCCTAACACGCGTGACGATAACGCCAAAGTCATAGCCGCGTTTCAAGTCAAAATGCCGAGGTCAGACCCGCGATGCAAAGACGATAACGCCAAAGTCATAGTCGCGTTTCAAGTCAAAATGCTGAGGTCAGACCCGCGCTACAAAAATCACGACGCCGAGGTCACACCAGGGTTCCAAATTCAAAACGCTGAGGTCACACCCGGGTTTCAAATCCAAAACGCCGAAGTCAGCCTCGCGTCTCAAATTCAAAACGCAGGGGTCCACCCCCGCATTCCAGAAGCAGGATTATGACGCATACCTTCACAAAGGTCCTACGTGGCAAATCCCTTCAATCAAGATGCCTTCAAAGCGAGTGCAGAGAACAAATTCTTTTCCACAAGGAATCAACAGCTCTAAGATCAGAGTGAAGATCCAAAGTATTCCGAAAATTCGTCCCAGTCAACCGCGAACTTTCGAAAACTTTGGAGGGGGTTCTGTAGGCTGTCTAAAAATCACAATAGATAGCTTATCCCCTATCAAACACTGATGATGGAAGTTACAATCTGACGACTTCCAGAAGACTGCAATTTGAAGCTTTCACGTAACAACTGATGGAAGCTCTATTTCAACAGCCTTCACAATCAACATCGGGAGTTACAATCTGACGACTCTCATATTCTCAAGGAGCCAAGATGAAGATTACAAGACAATGATCTTTGCAACGCTATGACAAAAGAGATTACTTGTTGATAATCTCTTCAAGGCAAGACGCGGAGGTCCTCCCCGTATATCAACACCAAGACGCGGTGATCCTCCCCGTATATCAACACCAAGACGTGGTGATCCTCCCCGTGTGTCAACAATAAAACGCCAGGGTCGAAACCCGCGTCACAATATCAAAACGCCAGGGTCGAAACCCGCGTTACAATATCAAAACGCCAGGGTCGAAACCCGCGTTACAATATCAAAACGCCAGGGTCGAAACCCGCGTTACAATATCAAAACGCCAGGGTCGAAACCCGCGTTACAATATCAAAACGCCAGGGTCGAAACCCGCGTTACAATATCAAAACGCCAGGGTCGAAACCCGCGTTACAATATCAAAACGCCAGGGTCGAAACCTGCGTTACAATATCAAAACGCCAGGGTCGAAGCCCGCGTTACAACATCAAAACGCCAGGGTCGAACCCGCGTTACAATAAGCCAAAACGCGAGTGACCCTCGCGTTCATTGGTGTTCAGTCAACACCCAACCTCGCGTCTCAATTCAAAGACGCGAGGTTAGGGTCCTGAACGCCAACGTTGGCGTTTGACTCATTCAACATGAGTTGAACGGTTCTAAAACCGTTTCACACGATTTGAGGGCGGTTACATCCCACTTAGGAGAGATTTAAGGGGCGGTTTCACCCCCTTAATCCTCTATAAATAACTGAAGATCAATTCAGTTCAGGGGCGGTTCGGTTGGAATTTTTGGCTCGGATCAACCACCGAAGGTTGGCATTTATTCGGAGCTGAGACTTGGCAGCAAAGGGAGAGATCGGCAATAGGAGCTTCTTCAATCGGGCTAGAACTAACATGAGACGGGTTAGAACTAACATGGGGCAAATTAGAACTAACATGAGGTAAGTTAGAACTAACATGGAGCGGACTAGAACTAACATGGGGTGAATTAGAACTAATATGAGGCAAATTAGAACTAACATGGGGCAAGTTAGAATTAACTTGAGAGCCCAATAGCCTAGAACTAAGATGAATTAGAGTTAGAACTATTTATAACTAACACGGGGCGTGCTAGAACTAACATGGGACGTGTTAGAACTAACATGGGGCAAATTAGAACTAACTTGAGAGCCCAAGAGCCTATAACTAACTTGAGAAAAAGCTCCTCCCACCTCCGGCAAGCCCGAACAGCGGCGAAAAGCTCCGAACAGCGAAGAACAAACCCGAACAGGGAGAAATTGCACTGCAGAAAACTGCAGTTTTGTGCCGACTTCGCACGCACTTTCCGATCACCTCCAATCTCCGTTTCCGCCAATTTCTTCTTTGTTGGCTAGCCCTACATGTTGCCTATCACCTCTAATTTGTATCACACTCTAACTCAGTCTCTATCTTTCTCGGTAACGTCCGAAACACCGCTCGACGGTAGCACCGAGTAGAAAATAACAACGTCGTGCCTACTTCACGCGCGTTTTCCGACCACCTCCGGTCTCCGTTTTCACTATCGTCTTCGTCGGTGTGTAGCCCTTTATATTGTCTATCACACGGTATCTTCCTTTCACTTGGGCTTATTTTCTATCTCTCGTTATATCGCTTCGAATATTGTTAGTTCTAACTTGCTCAACTAGCTAGAACTAACATCGCTTCGAATATTGTTAGTTCTAACTTGCTCAACTAGCTAGAACTAACATAGGGAGATGAGAGAGCTGAGTTTGAGGGATTGAAGAGATGTGATAATGTTATTTTGGGGATTTTAGCTTAGCTGGCATGTAATAATTGATAAAAAGAGGCTGCAGTACAAAGTGTCACACTTCAAGAAGCTGAATCGCATTGGGAAAACTAAGATGGGCTGCAGCACATAAAGTTTCTTTTTTTGGGCCTGGACACAGTTTTCCCTAATAATAATAATAATAATAATAATAATAATAAAGCCAACTCGTTAATACATCTACAAATTAAAAATCTCAATTTATAAAGGTTATACTATTTTGTTCTAATTATATAAATAGAGTTTTGGATAGGAGAGCCATTAAGAGGGATGAATCCTCCCAGTGTCAGAGGTTGCTGCTGCTGCTGCTGCAGCGGTACGATGTACGTACGGTGGACTGTCCTAAGGTAGCAGGTTACTGTACCTACGTTTACCACAGCGGATTATCTGTCGGTCGGTCGGACCTTCTCCTGTCCAACCTGCTGCACAGCAGATCCTAACGCTAAGCTACGCATGTCTGCTAATCAGGGTTCGACACGTCGACGCTCGTGGGCCCCGCGGTTCTCTGCGGAAGCCGACGACGAGATAGCAGGAGTAGGAGGAGGAGCCATCGTGGCCCCCACGTCCACGCAAGTCAAGTTACGCTCCGAAACCGCTGTCTGCTGACGCGGCCGATCGTCGTCTTCCCCCAGCTTGACCGACTCTCCTTTGTTTAATTAATTATTACTTGTGTTATCTTAATCGGCCTCGAGTCAGAGATCTGCTGATGATCAATGCTAAACTAACAGAGAACAACTAAATCCGGCTTGTTAACTATATTTGATTTATATTAACAGGGAATAATATAGTGTTATTTACGTTGGAACTAAGTCTAAATGTTATTTTTTTTATAGTTAAAACTAATATCCTTCTCGTCTAACTAGTAACAATAATGACCTGAATCTGAAACGTATTGGTGCTCTATAACGTCTTATTCATAAGAACAAGCAACAGTTATAGAGAAGAGATCCTTCACATACAGAATACCTACAATTATCAGCAGGCTAACGTGTAACTAGAAACTCTTTTTTTTTTTTTTTTTGAATTTTTAACAAAGCCAAGAGAAATCCAATTAATATGCAAGATCAAATTTCAGATATCTCTATTGCAATTTAATACGGAAAAAAGATGGAGAATGTCATTCACGGTGTCCATAATTTCAGACCATCTCAAAACACAAACAAGTACCTAATCTAGCTAAGCCATCAAAATAATTAGTGGTGTAAAACATCATATTAGACAAGGAATGCTTATGCTGAGGAAATTTAAATATTGTCAAAAACACAAAAAAGAACAGATCCTAGATAGAAATGTATCAGAAATGATGAACACACAAAGGACTTAGAATTTGTGATTTTCAATAAATTCACTGACGACACAAATTACAACTTGAAATCCCAACAAAGGAGAAAAAAAAAGAAAGAAAGAAAAATATATCCTTTCTGATCATATATAATATATTATACTTCTATTAGTCCTGCAGGCTATGCGATTAAAAACACGCAGGAGGTTAGTAACACCGACCATCCGACCATCCCCATCATCAAAAACCCAATCCAAAATATTTAAAAAAAAATTACATATAAAACCTTGTTATTTTCCAGTAATATAATTATCAAGGTAAATAAAGAGAAGGATCGGTGTCACCCCAGTTCGCCTGGTTCCAGTACGTATCCACCGAGCTCGTAATATCAAACAGCGAACCCGAATCCACCGACCCGTTCCCCCACTCCAATCCTTTCCCCTGATTCGGATCCACCGGCTCCGGATCCGCAACCCGGTAACCCGTCAACACGCCCGGGTCCGAGAAATCGAACCCCAACCCATCAAAAACAGTCGCCGCAGAAGGCGGCGGAACCGGGTCCGGGTTCGGTTTCGGATTCGGGTTGGAAGAAGATTCAGAGCTCGACCCAGAGGGAGCGGTAACGGGCTTGGGTCGGGGGTTCTTATCGGGTTTGGATGACTTGGCCGATCTTTTGGAGGAGTTCTTGCGGCACGAGCCGCAGCCGACCGGGACGTTGCGCAAGAGCGCCTTTGGTCCAGTAGCGGCGGCAGGACTTGCAGAAATGGCGGGCTGAGAGAGGTTGTAGTTGTTGTAGTAGCAGAACTTAGTGTTCGTGGATTCGCATCGGGGGCATTTGATTGGGGTTTGGTGAGGGGTCGACGGTGGCTCGCCGCGGGCTGCGGTGTCGGGCCTCGGGAAGACCCGACCCGCTAGCTCGGGACCGGTTGGAACTCTTGCATCGAGTCGAGGCTTTCGCTCGCTTCTCTTCTCTCCTTCTCCCTTCGTCGCGTCTTCGTTTTCGGAAGAGGAGGAGCGGCGAGAGGAGGGAGGGGAAGGGCAGAGCTCTCTGGCTCGGGTACATAGAGGAGGGCAAATATCCGTTTCTGCTTTTTGTCCGTTTGGGGTGAGAAATTACTACGTTGCCCTCGGATGGGATGCGATGACGTGGCTGTAATTACGGGGGGCGCCACTGGTAAAAAGTGTTTGGAAATTAACCGCGAGTTAAAAAGTGTCCTAGTCTGTTCCAGAATCGAATGGAGATGTTTGCTATTGATGCTAGCTGCTAGGGGCGGTGAGGGACGTTTAACAGCCCAGCTATAATGATACGCAACGGTGACGGATGTTTCTGCGACGCGGGACCTCCGAATTAAGCACCGTTGGATAACTGCTGATGTCTGCTGCGTTCGTTAATGAGCGCATGAAATATATATACGAGCCACTTATCATATTGATATGATTCCCTAGCTACAACAGCCTGTAGAAAGTCATTTTCCATGATGAGAATATTTGATCAGGCTTGATATGCGAGTGGGGATCGCTCAATCTGAAGATGTGAGTAGTTAATAGGGGCTATTTCAGCGTTCATTAATCGAGAACGTTGTTCACTTATTCCTTTCAACTAGCCGTGAACACCGTACGAAACAGGACGTATCATTTTTTTCCCCGTTACATTAATCACAATTTTAAAATACTATAGTAATTTTTTTTTTAGTTTTTTGCGTTGCTACAGTTCCCATCTCGGTTCCATATTTTTAAAAATGCTACAGTGTTCCAGTGTGCGTTACAGTTCCCCGTTTGATACGGGAGTAAATGCTACATAAAATTCTACTGTAACATTTATTGTATCATAAATAGAAAATATTGGGTTCTCTCATTTGTAGATTCCGAGAACTAACATCGTATATTATCTTTCGCGCAGCTTAAGAAGTTATGAAAACACTAGCGGTTCTATATAAAATGTATCGGACCTAAAAAGAATATAGACGCTAGTGCGCAAAAGATTAAGGCGTATCTTCGTTGCATCGATACGTGAACAATAAGATACATAACATCGTGTATTATTTATACGTAGAACACTGTATATAATACTCCATATCGAGTAAATAGCGAAACAGATATTTATTATTTATCACTTGTGTTTGCTTAAAAAAGAAGGTACAACTGATTTGATAATAATCTACAACCATACTCATGGCTGAGTTAAGAACACCCCATGCCCATGGTGTTGGAAAAAATAGCGCAAAAGGTAATGAAAACAAAAGATTAGGGTCAACTTAATTAATTTGTGAAAAATCTTGAAGTGGCCGCTCATCTACCTTCCTAGTTTTGGATGCTGCTATAATACGGAGAGTTAGCAAAGTCCATCCTTGTCCGTTAACTGATGGCATATCTCGTAGTTGGTTCTAATGTAATAAATAAAAGTCCTTGTTCAACAATTCAAACTCTTGCAGCCGCGCTCGGTCTGTTTCCATTTCCCACCAACATTAATTTGCTTGGAAAATTAGTCCGGCTATAATTATTCGTTCCTTTGAAAAAACTAGCCCCTTAATTCATTATGGCAACCTTTTCACAAATCACTGCATATTAGGGGTTGTCATTATGTGATTAGGCGAAGCCCCTCGTCCTTTAAGGTGGTACTTATAGTTGATTAATTAAACACGCAACATCCAACGATCTAACCAGCCGTACGTCCCGTGGGCGAACGTTCACCGTCGGATGGTGACACGCGGACGGCCCAACCTGAGTTCTCAGCTCCACCGCCGCGCCATCTGCTCCTGTTTACGTGGTCCACATCTCGCCACGTCGCGGCTCCTCGTCCGTTCTTAGTACCAATCATTGCTTCCTGCACGCTGTTACCCCTTCTTCGGCCTCTCGTACGGTCACTCTGACACGCTTGGCTGCTGGATTTGACCGTTTTCTCTTTCATATTAACAGACAGAAAAGTGAATTTTTTTAATTACTGGATCGAATGGGTGTTAATCTAATTATTATAATTTCCAATCACAAGAGATAATTTTTCTAGCATTCAAATGAAGGCGAATACTAAATAGTGAGAATTTTTCTAAATTATGTGATCTTATATGTAAAATACATATCAAGAGAGTGTTGGCATTCTTATTGATTAATTGGGGAGCAAACAGATTTTTCCAAAAAAAAATACATTCCATGCCAAAAAAAAGCCTAAATCGACTCATATTCATTTCTCCAAACTCTTAATTTTTGGAAAAATTCCTTAAGGACCCAAAATATGGGACCAATAGAGGGGACAAATGAGGTGTCCCCCTCCTATTGGATAATGAGTTGACCATCATTAATGATGACCAACTCATTATCCAATAGGAAGGGGACACTTCACTTGTCCCTCCTATTGGTCTCATATTTTGGGTCCCCGTAGCAAAGCTCTAATTTTTGTTACTCGCTAAATTTGAGAAACGTTAAAAATAAATAAACTTACATGTTCATATTAATTTCAAAACAGGTTGGTCACAGTAAAAAGACCATCATCCCCAACCAAAGAATGATAGCTTTTAAGAGTGTCATTAATTAAGAATCACACTCAAACCAGTCAACAACTCTCTCAAACACAACCAGAGAACCTAACTGCATATACACATACAAAAAGTAAAAAATAAGAAAATGAAGCCAATATATGTTACGCCCGTACATTACCACGCACATCTCTTTTCCAATCTGATATTTCATCAATTCAGAGAAGTAAAAAAATTAATCAGGAGCGGAACAAGAACGGAGAAGGAGCGAACGGTAAGAAACAAGAGGAATATAAGGATCCTGTAGATATGAGAAACATCCAAGCAAACGAAGCCAAATCCAAAAATTCCAACAGCGGAGCCCCCTTGTCTCTGCGTAGAGAGAGAGAGGGAGAGAGAGAGAGAGCGCCAAAGTACAGGGAACTGGTTGTGATGACAAGTACTGTTGACAGGTCCAGAGCCAAGACCATATGGAATCACAAGGCGCATCAAACCCACATGGGGCGGTTGTAGAAATAACTATTACTTGGAATAAAAATGGAAAAAAAATTAAAAAGAGGGGGTGGAAAAAGAGTAATTGTGGTTGCATATATAGAACCGAAATATTTTGCATTACTTACAATAATCTAATAATGTAGAGTAAGGATCCTACTATCAATAATTTAGAGTAAGGAACTTATCAGAAGGTTACTTACCATGCGCGGGGCTCCGGCTCCCCTGGCTCAGGTGACCCCGCGTAGTGGGGTGTTCTGATACGATCTTTAGTCGAACTATTTATTTTACTACCAAGAATAATTGTAAAGAAGTATTCAATTGCAACGGATTACTTATACAGATTTGATTCGGTAGTCACAACTAAAGATTTTTTTTTTTTTTTGAAAACAAATAACTAATGTTCCAATTACAAGCATTTATTTTAAATGCTAGAATAATTGATATTTTCAATGTACGCAGTTAGAAAACAGTACTACTATGCAACTGTTCACGATTAAAGTATTGGGGGGGCGCAGAGGAGAGACGTGGTTGGGATTCCGATGTCCTCTCGCTCTCAATGCTACTGCTGCCTCATGAGATGTCGATTTCAGAGAGGCTTCAAATTGTCTACCCGTCGCTATCCACAGAGATATACATCGGTACTATATATCATGCCACTCCACTAATCTATTCTCTAAATTATAACGCTTGTTATCCCTTTGCATGCTGGCTAGATAATGTACCTGCGTGCCTCGTTGGATGTCACCTTGATTTTTTTAAATACTTTGGGGGCAAAAAAAAAAAAAAAAACATTGGAAGAAAAAAACAATATCCTATGGGAAACTATTTGTGCAGCTCCAATTGATCCTCTTGTTAAACATATAAATCAAAACAAGTCTATGTAAGATTTGTTGTGCGCGTCGCGGAAGCGTGACAACCAAACGGGCGTGCTTCGAGAACCAAATCAAACAAACGTCGAGATAAAGGCCAAACAAATCAAAACAACGGCACAAATCCAAACACAATAGTTTTACGTGGTTCGGCAATTGCCTGCGTCCACGGGGCAAGAAGGGGATGGGGTTTTCACTAATAGAGAAAGAGTACAAACTGAGATTACAAATCACTCGAATGAACAAACTAATCTCACCAACAAGCTCTTAATCTCTCCAAACAAAACCCTAAACAAATAGCTCAGAAAATACCTCTTTTCTGTGCTCCAAATATCCCTAATTTTTCTTCTCCACCAATTTTCTCTTCCAATTGTTCTATATATATAGAAATCCTAAAATCATAAACATACTAGGAATTCTAAACCAAAACCAAATCAAATTAGGAATCCTAATAACCTATTACCAAAATAGATTAGGAATCCTAATAACCTCATGTTACCAAAATAGAATAGGAATCCTAATAACCTTATGTTACCAAAATAGATTAGGAATTCTCTATCCAACAATTCTCCACCTAGGCGAAGTTTTCCCAAAACTGAGCCGACACCGACCAAACCAAATGCCTCACTTGTTGCGTCCAGTACGCCACGGCAATGGACTCATGACAACGGACTCCATCCACACAAGTTGAGACCCAAACGGGAGTGCGAACACTCACCCAAATGTCGATATCTACTCACCAAATCGGCTGCATCAAAACTGACTGCCTACGTATTCTCTTGCCCAAGGAATCAAGCCTTCACGTAGTTCACCAAAATGGCCTCCAAATGCCTCAATCCACTAGAAGAGTTCGCAACCCTTCTCCAATATCACGATCAAGTCTGCGGCTGATAGCACCTCCAATGGCTCCAAACTGAACTAATCCAAACATCTCCACCTGAGATAAAACAATGGCCATATCCAGACTACATCCATCAGCTGTACTCGAATCAATCAACCTATTATCTGCATCCAAATCAACAGGAGTTTTCTCCCAATGTGGAGTAGCATCACTCTCCACCCGCTGCGATATCCCAAAGATCTGATCACCACTCTCCACCTGCCGAGAGTCAAATGTGACATACCTGCTCAGAATAAAGTCAGAAGCCAATACCTGATAATCAAACACGCCTCTGAATCTCAAATGTGCTATCGGATCAAATCTTACATCCATGATGTGACCGAGTGCTGGGTAGCCAAACATCCGACGTAACCCAAAATCTGAAGC